TTCAAATGAATAAAAAAATAGAATAATATCACAGAGCACCACGTTCTTATCCCCCATCTTTAACACTGACCAGTGTAGGGCAGATCTTATTCCCCAAAGTACCCCAGGAAATCCATCACCCCATTCCTGGATTATCTTAAAGTAAACCTTTCCTTACTATCTCAGTTTTCTCATCAATAAACTAGAAGGCAGATGTGGTAGGACATCACTATAACCTAGCACTCTGGGAGGCTGAAGCAGGAGGATCAGAATCACTTAGTGGCTTAGCAAGACCCTGTCTCAAAACAAAAATTTTTAAAAGGTTGAAGATGTAGCTTAGTGTGAAGACCTTGAGTTCAAACCCCAGGTTTGCTAAGAGATAGACAGAGATGGAGTAGAAGTAGAGGTGGAGGTGAAGACAGAGACACAAAGGCAGAGAGAGAGACACACACACAGAGAAAGAGAGAGAAAGAGAAAGAGTGACAGATAGAGATAGAGGTGGAGGTGGAGACAGAGAGACAGACAGAGACACAAGCAGAGAGAGAGAGACAGAGAGAGAGAGAAAGTGAAACTGTGTTGGACCAACTTCATGAGGTCTTCCATAGCTTAAATGCTGGCCTCTAAAACACTGTTTCTGGTCCATGGTATCCTCAATACATAGACGGCTCTCTCTCTTTTCTGAATTCAATAAACGACATCTACACACATTAGTCAGCATGGTTAGGGTGCACTTAGCATTTACAAGGACTCCCATTAATCATCTCCAGACATTTCCTTCACTTGAACTCAAATCCATTATGTCTTCATTTCAGATGAGTGACTTTCTCTGAGTTAGATCAGAAAGGACTAGAGGTAAAAATGATTCATCCATCTATCCTTGCTGCCAAATATTCTGCACGACCTGATGTAAATGCCTTCTTTATGGGCGAATCAATACATTTTGACCTTTTATCCAAAGAAGGGGAGATGTCACACGAGCATGGTGTGCACACCTCTAACGCCAGCGCTCTGAGCAGCTGAATCAGGAAGACTGCAAGTCTGCACCCAGCCTGGACAATCTACTGATTTATCATGACCCTGTCCCAGAATAAAATTTTTTTGAAAAAGAAGAGCTGGGGATACAGCTGAGTTTGAAGGCCCTGGGTTTAGTCCCCAGTACCACAATTAATCCGTCAAGCAAGCAAACAATCAAAACCTAGCGAAAATCATAAAATTGATGGACATAAACCAAGCTTTATGTTCTGTGTACCCTGACAATTCAAAAACTCCAAATGTCTTTATCTTTCCAACCAAGAGAACTATAGATTTAAGACACTTTTTAAAATTTTTACTTTGTATTTCTGTCCTGTTTTCTAGTCGATGCTTACATCTTTGGCTTTAGAGAAGAAAATTATTTTAAGGTCCTGAAGAAGACACCAGTGTAGCCAGCTACTAGGTATCAGAGCAGGAGAAGCAAAAAGCACACAATTCACAGGCATAATGTGAGACAAACCCTCTTCCTACAAACTATTTCCCTGGACTCCAAAAACAAAATGTGCTGTTACAAATCCCTGATTTAAAGAGAAAGCTTCTTAAAAATTGATTTTTTAGTAGGAATCTAATTAAGGATACTTAAGTTAGACTTTTTAGAGCCTGTACTGTGGAAGGATATTGATGAATATCCCAAGTCACACTTGTAATCTCACTTATCACTGACTCTGCTTTTATGATATTCTGTGAATAGGATGTCAAATGACACTTTAAAAGGTTATAATCTAAAAAATAGAAAGTACAGTCAGCATTTTCATATGACACAGATATTTATCAAAGAAGGCTGCATTAAGACATTCTGAGAGAGAGACATCTGTTCTCTCTCCTTTTTAAAGCATTTCTCAATCTATTGTTACAACACAGCCTGCATATGGATTTCCCAACTTAAAAAGGAAGAGGGTCATCTTAAAAGGAGGATTCAAGACTCATCTGGGAAGGTGACTAAGAAATTACTGAGAAAGTCTTATGAGCAAAGATCAGAAACAACATTTTTACTTCATTTAGAAAAAGCTGAGTTTAGTGATAATCTTTAAATACACGGTTAGTTGTGCACAGACTAGTAACTAAGAACTGTCTTTGCTGGAGGTATAAGAATAAATTGTGATATCCTGCTGACATCAGATCATTTTTGGGGGGGGATCTTATTTACAAAAATAAATAAAGTAAATTCACAACTCTGAGTATAAGAGGGTATGAAGGTGGTGGGTCAATAACTACACAACATCTAAAACGAAAGTTAATTTTTAAAAGTGGAGCTATGGGGAGATGAAGTCACACCACCCCACTGACGCCCTGGCACAGCAGCCGATGCTGGTGACCAGTTTTCAGACCTCACCATGCCTTCCCCCTGCCGGTCCCACCCCACGGGTGGCAGAGGTAGCTGTGCCACGGGGAGCAGACCAGATTGGCATCAATGCTGGCCTCGCACCTACTTGCTATTCTGGCTGCCCTCATTCTCCTCTTCGCTGGAGGGCCTTGAAGGATAAGATATAAAAAGCTACTCTTGCTACTGAGGTTGGAAGCCGACATGGAAAAGAGAAGGCTGCATGCACAGGAGTGCCTGGAGCTCGCAGAAACGCCAGCTGCTGCTCTGCTCCATCCCTGACGTGCCCACAGGGAAAGAGCATGACCCTTCCTCCCTGTGCTGAGGTAGCCGCAGCACTCAGCTGCTCTGGGACCCGCTGAGGGCCCCTAATTGCACCCTCCATTAGATTATCCAGCTAGGATGGGGGCACTTTAGTCTGCCTTTAATTAGATAAAACTGAGAATCATGAAAATGGATTTTTCATTGTAATTCCAAAGGACTTAGCAAGGAAAGGGAGGCTCTGTACAGAAAGATTACCTCACCAAATGCAAAACAAGGATGTTATTATAGTAAGTGCATGCAGTGGGGATTTGTTGGGGTTTAAACAGTCTCACCTATATCAAAATTGATGTTATTTTATTTTTTAATTGACATACAATATTTGTGCTTAAGGCGTACAGTGTTGTAATGGAACATATGTATGCAGTGTATAATGATCAGATCAGACTAATTACCATCTCATTGGCCTCTGATAGTCTTATTTCTATAGACAGAGAGCCTTCAAGCTTTTCTCCTCTAGCTATTTTGAAGCATATAATTCCTGCGGACTCTGGTTACCCTGCTATAGTGTGTCACGTTAGCACGGCCCAGCCTCCGCCCTCTCACTGCCCACCCTCCCAGGTGATGGTTTTCAGTGTGTAGCGCATGTGAAGACAGTTCCTATGTGCATTTTCACTTCACATCCATGAGCTCACACACAGGACCGTGTGGTGTGTCACCCTCAGGCTCCACTACTTCATAAACCATTTTGGCGCCTTGTCTCAAGAATAGCTCAAGTTGAAAGCCAGGTTTTCTTTATCAAAATAACTACTGAGAGGGGTGAGTTCCAGCCCTGCCTTGTTTTCCTACCTTTCCGTTCACATGGAGAGGCCTCAGGCAGTGAAGTCTGAGAGTCGGGACTGAGGGGTTGAACCCAAAAAAGGAGGCCTTCTGGGTCCTCTGAAATTTAGTCCAATTTCAGTAAGGGTTTTAAAAATATTACATTAAGAAAAATTAGCCAGTGAAGACAACAGATATTTTTACACAGATTTTTTTTTAAATATTAAAGTAAGAAAGGCTTACTTCCACTGAGCAGTAACAAACTAAATATCAGGAAACATTTTATACCATAAAACTCCTCAATCTCGTGGATGTAAAAAATAATTGAATAATAAATGGCTGAATTGAGAAGAAACTAAGAAAAACCCTGAGAAGCCACAGCAGGCACAAGGAAGCAGATGGACAAGAAAGCACTGCCCACCCTGTGCCCAAAGCATCCGCTGGTTCTCCTGTGACCTGGAGTTGTGGGCTTGGTGTCAGCTGTGAAGAGCTGCACCCTCTGTGAACGGTGAATCAGAGTGAAATATGAAACTGGGGAGAGGGAGGCTAACAAAGAAGATTAATCTGAGTAGTATTTGAGGAATTTGCCCTGAGAATTTGTCTACATAAGCCAGCACTCACATAATTCTGGAACACAATTCTTACAGCCTGTATTTTTTCTAAGATATTTAAAATGTAGTGGTAGGTGGCCCTAGTTGGCAATGTCCCTGGGTGTATCAAAGGCAGATGATCTCTGGCAGTATGCCCCTCCACAGAGGAACTAAAACACTGCCACAGATGAAATTCTACCGAATATGAGCTTTTGATTTTAAAAAAATGCAAAATCATGCAAGAACATAAGGTATCTTGAACAAGCTAGCTAAAATAATAACTAGCATAGTCAGGCCAGAGATTTGAGGAAAGGAATTTTCAGCATTAGGAAACAAAATAAAAAGTTTATACGCATGAGAATAACAATATAAAAGCAGAATGTGATACATTATAAGTGATTATGAATTTTAGGAAAAATAGAATTAATCAGAATTAGAAGTTTAATAAACATACTGAGAGCAAGTTAGATATACATGAAGATTATAGTACAGAGCAGTACTAAAATAGAAAACTTATCAACATACATGGAATTTAAAGTGATAAAGTTGGGGCTGGGGATTTAGCTCAGCGGCAAAAGCACCTGCCTGGCAAGTGCAAGGTCGTGAGTTCAGTTCCCGGTACCGGAGAAAAACCAAATAAATAAATAAATAAATAAATAAATAAATAAAGTGATAAAGTTAAGCAAATACCTATTTGGAGTTGCTTGAAAAGATAATAGAAACAATACAGAGAGACAGAAAAGAAATATTACTGAGAATTTTCCAAAAGAAATAAATTCACAAATTTAGAAAGTCTAACCAATCTCAAAAGGGTACAAGAAAAGAAATGTATACGTAAACACACTGCAGTGATACTGCAGAGTATAGCCAGGAAGGACAGAAGAAAGGAAGGAAAGAAGGGAGAGAGGGAGGGAGGAAAGAAGAAAGGAAAGAGGAAAGAAGGGGAAAAGAAAAGGAAAAAGAAATATAAAAAGAAATCTTAAAAATAGCCAGAGGACTATGAAGTCATCAAGCATATCATCAAAGAGAAATGACAATTAGTTTGACAAGGGACTTCTCAAAAGTGCACAGTGAATGCCAGAAAAACAATGTCTTTCTGGATGGAAAGGAAAAGGAAATAACTGCCAGCCTGGAATTATGCACGAGACAAAACCGTACTAGAAACATGAGCAAAACAAGAATATTCTCAGACAGAATGGAATATGTATGTGTCACTACCAACAGACCCTGACAAGAGCAATTCTCATAAGGACGCATTTAAGGAAGGAGGAAATCTGCCCTAAAGGAAAGGTGTGTGAGGTAAGAGAGCATGTGAGAAAAAGTCAACATGGGGGTAAATCTAAACAGTGACCATGAAGACCACAATGTTTATATTCTGTATCTTGTTGAGACTTTTAAAAGATAATAATAAAATATGGGATAATAATAGTAGCGAGTAGATTTAAAGCTAAGGATCTTTGCGCTGTTCAAATTTAGTCTACATGTAATTTTAGCCAGTAGAAGACTTAAAACCAAGGATTTTTGTGCTGTTCTGGAGAAAGTAAGAAATGTTGATTCGACACTGTTAGGGTAATGCTATGGTTTGAGCATGTCCTTCAAATTTCCAGTGCTAGGAACTTAATCCCCAAGTTCGGATGTTGATGGTATTTGGAGGTGGACACCTTGGAAGGAAACTAGAATGAGATGAGGTCACAAGGTGGAGCCACCATGATGGCATTAATGATTTTAAAAGAAAATGGAGAGAGAAGCAAGTCAGCATGCTTGCCCCATCTTGCCGTGAGATGTCTCCAGCTTGTTGTCGTACAGCAGGACAACAGATCAACACAGATGCCAGTACCATGCTCTTAGACATTCTGGCCCCGGAACCATGAGCCAAATAAACTTTTTGTACACTCCCGGGTCTCAGGGATTTTGTTACAGTAACAAGGAAAGGATTAAGACAAGTGGCACAGGGGACAGGGATATAGCTCAGTGGCATAAGCACCTGCCTGGCAAGTGCAAGTTCCTGAGTTCAATTCCCAGTACCAAAAAAAAAAAAAAAAGACAAGTGGCATACTAAGCAGGAAGGGACAAGCATCCCACCTGGCAGGGAAGTATCTTTTTCCAACATTGTTTTTAGAATTGCTGGTGTGTCCCAATAATAAGTACAGAGAGATTTTTCATTAGTTTTACTACTGTTTTTAAATTCTCTCCAGATAGTTCTCCCCCATTCTCCCTGCATCCAGACGAGAATACTCTGATCACTACCACCCTTGATATATCACTGCTTTGTTTGGCTAGGATGTTAACATTTCAAGGGTCAAGACTACAAAAATAGAAGTAGGTTACACAATTTCTGTCCAAGAAAAGAGGAAGGAGGTATGTAATATGGGAAAATATTTGTACAACATTCCAAGAAAGGAGAGGGGGATTAGAAAAGTACAGTGGTAAGAATAAAGACAAACAAATCATTTATCACTAAAATAGTAAAATCATTCCCAAAGTGAACTAAGAGTTTACAGGAAACAGAGAGGACAGAAGAATTCATTAAATGGAATCCATAAATAGAACCAAAAAACCAGAGTCTGGAAAACTCTATCATTGTTTTCAACAAGTAAAATTCAAGGGGGAAAAGACAGGTAGTGTTTTAAGAAATCTATCAATCAATGGCAATATGTGAATCTTATTTGAATCCTGATTTATACAATAAAGCTAAAAATGCTATGAAAAATCAGAGAAATTGGATCACCAGCCAGACAAAATTAATAAAGTGTTAATTATATTGAGGTGTGATAGGATAGTTCAGGGGTTATACTTTTGGAGTCCTTTTTTGTGCCCTAAGCCTTAATTATTTATGATTTGAAAATTCTGTTTCTAATAAATAGAAAGGTACAAATGTTCACCTATGTACCAGACATAGTACGTACACTCTTTGGGTAGTTCTAAGTCTAATTTAGGCTACATATAATTTGGAATATTCCTTCTTAAATGTCTGTGACTCAGTAGCCATATTATCTATTGTCATTTCACAGGTCATCTTATGACTCTCATAACTTTGTAAGTCTTTGAACTATAATACTTGGAGAGGAATGCATAACATAAATGTACTGTTCCATGAATAACATAACAAATCTTTCCAACAGGTAACTATAGAATAAATACCCGACCGCTCACCACCCAGTAAAGAGAACATTACCAGTACCTGGAAACCTCTTGCTTGCTCTTTCCTGAGCACATAGGTAATCTTACCTTTAAAAACTACATATGCATCTAGTAGGCATTCAGTTACAGATTGCTTTGCTTAACATTGTGTTTGAGGTGAAGTCATTTCTTTCTTTGAATGCAAAAATTTTCTGAAAAGTTATATGTATCTTATCTCCAATTCCTTCGTTGCACCATTCCTATCTGTCTGTTGTTCTCAGTCTTCTGCCCGTAGCTGTCATCTCGAGGTCCCCTGCCTGATCCCACAGCCAGCCATCAGTACTCATCTTCCTTCCCTCCTGTAGCACTGTCACTGTGATTGCACTGTGCCTAGAGGCGTCGGCCATTGACTTCGAGGGCATCAAGCACTCTTGATTTCCCTCCTACTGCACCAGCTGCTCTTTTCCGTCTCCCTGGTTGTCCTCTCCTCTCAAAGCTTTAACCTTGCGCAGCATTAAGGCCAAGTCCTTGAAGCTGCTTTCTCTCTGCACCGTTTGATGATTTCTTGCAGTCTCTATGTTTGCCCACAGATGTCTCAAAAATGAGAGTTCGAGCTTCGATTTCTACTCTGAACTTCATCTGCCCACTCAGCATGCCCATTTGGATGTCTAGTAGACATCTCCAAACCAACATGCTGCAAGTGAATGCCTCTTCTTCTCCCTCCTCTTTCCTTTCCTCCTCCTCCTCCTCCCTTATCCTTCTCCTTTTCTCTCACTGCTACCTAAGGAAGTGAGCCCTCCTTTGCTTGAAGAAAACCTAGTTCCCACCTCCACCCTAACCTTTGCTGTTTAAAGCACCATGGATTACCCAGACCTCCTCTCTGTGCTGGAGACCTACAACTACACTCAGGTCCCAGCATGCTCTGCTGATGAGCTATAAAGAGGAGGCCCTGAGGAGGTAGGTGCACTCCACAGCAAAAGAAGGGCAGGAAGAGCTTTCCGTTGTTATGGATATAAATTAGAATATGTATGGGAGTGGATCTTAAGGGTGTGGGATCATTGTGAAAGGAACATATACGATGAGGCCAGATTTATTGATATGGTCTACCCAATTAGAGAGTCTCAGTTCTGACCAGTTATAGAAGTATATTCACGAATGCATTCATTCATTCACTGGCAGTACTGGGAATTGGCCCCAAGACCTTTTCACTGAGCTACATCCCCAGCCTTTTTATTTTATTTTGAGACTGGGTCTTGCTATGTCCTCACTTAAGACTGGACTCAAACTTGTGATTCTCCTACCTCAGCCTTTCACCATGCTGGGATTATAGGCACATGCCATTATGCCTGGCTTTTAAGTACATTTTTAATTCCTGCACTTGATTGAATAAATTATGTAATAAAAATTCAATGAAACCCAAATAGTCTTGATCATGTCATTCAATTCTGTATTGGGGTCTTGATTGCAATGCCCATGTTTGTTGTGTTGAGCTATGACTAAAGGGCTGTATTCTATTAGATCAGTAAAATACAGAAGCCTGCATGGTGGTGCACGCCTGTAATCCCAGCACTCGGGAGGCTGAGGCAAGAGAATCATTGCAAGTTCTGGACCAGCCTGGGCTACAAAGTGAGTTTGGGGCCAGCCTGAACTGCAGAATGAGACCCTCTCTCAAAAGGCCAAAACAACAACAATAAAAAACTAACCAAAATTGGCTGAGGGGAATATACACTGGGAGCGTTGGGGGAAGAGGATCTTCAGAGATGAGACAATGATCCACCAAGGGGAAAGATTTGACACCAGAGGCCTGACCCTCTTCTGGAGATGCCACCATTGCAAGTGTCTCAAAGGCTTTATTTGAAAATAAAAATCTTTCAAGTTTCAGAAAAGACAAAGATGAGTGTGGTCACAAAGAACACAAACAAGTACTTTTTATAGGCTTTTATTTTATTTATTAGGAAATTTGGACAATATTATGTAAGTCAGAGCCCAGGTAAACAAGAGACACTGCATGCAGAGAAGGGAAAGTAGAACAGAGGGAGCGGAGCGGAAGCAGACACCCAGCACCGAGGACAGAGGTCTCACTGAGCGGAGGTCAGAGGCTCTGACATTCACTAGGCACTGGGCTCAAGCATAATTTTTCCGTGAGAGGATCCCTAGAGTTTGGAAATGCTGGAAAGACTTGAAACACCAAAGAAAGACAGGAACAGAGTAGGCCCAGGGATGGAAGAACACACATACAGGAGAGGGTGGAAGTCTGACAAGTTCATGGTCACCTGCTATGCCATCCCAAGGACTGGGTAGCTGCCTAGCAGCAGCACTGCTTCTTGCAGCAGCACTTCTGCTGGCAACAGCCCTTCCCACAGCCGCAGCCACAGGAGCCACAGCTGCAGGAGCGGCAGCAGGAGCAGGGGCAGCAGATGACCATGGGTTTGCAGCAGCAGCAGCCACAGCACCCGCAGCAGCTGCCACAGCCTCCACAGCCGCCACAGCCTCCACAGCTGCCACAGCCTCCACAGCCTCCACAGCTGCCACAGCCTCCACAGCTGCCACAGCCGCCACAACTGCCACAGCTGCCACAGCCACAACCTCCACAACCACAGCAGCCCATGGTGTCAGTAGAGAGGACGCAGGTGAGGTGAGGAGAGAGGACTCAGGAGAGCAGAGAGAGTCTGATGCCGCCTCCTGCCGGGGGCTCCTTCATATACCCGGTCCCAGGTGCCCAAACCCTGGTGATGCAGCCAGTTCCTTGTTGTTTCCTGCAGTTCCCATCAGAGACTCACGAGGCCCTCACACCCTTCCTTGTTGGCAGCTTGACTGGCTGTCCTTGCTGTTTAACTTTTACTCCTCTCTTCAATCTGTACTTAGAATAGACAGGCTTCTGACAAGGTTGCATCCAGGGGAAATCAAATGTGTATATGTTTTCTCCCTCCAGAGCTTAGAAGAGAGCCTGGCACACTATAAGGACCTGATAGTGTGTTTGGAATTACACAAATGCCTAAAGTATTCAAGAATAATCCATTTGGAAATACATAGGAATAGGAACTTATGCCAGGCAAGAGATCTGTTTTCATTTGAACCTCTTAGTCCCTGTGGGCCAGGCAAAGCACGGTTTTCTCTCTGTAGAGATTCCACACAGATCCCTAAGTGAGGAAAAAACCCTCCCTAAAGAATTAGTGGAAAACCAGAATCAAAAGGAACAGTACAGGACTCCTAACTGTGTTATGTCTGTATTTAATCTTTCTAGCTCTCTGAGGTTCTTAATTCACCAGGAGAAGTGATTGATCATTTAAAGTCACAATAAAATAATTATATGATGTTAGGTGCTAAAAATATATTGTTATGCCTACTCCTAAGGCATCAGCCAGAGTGAGGTTCCCATTTGTTCTTTATCTGCCACATAATTGGGAAAATAAAGTCAGAGAACTTCCATCTGGGGTCCAGTCTCTTCTCAGGCTCTCTTAGGTTTACTGTAGCCAGGCCCCAACTTTCAGCTCACCCATGTACCATAGAATGGTGACCCAAAATATTCCACTGGCTCTACTTTTTAGGCTCCATTTCCAGCCCCACCAGGCTGTGGGGCAATGCTGAGTCCATCAGGTAATGTTTTTGTCTGATGGTCCTCAGAATACAAGGCTGCCAGGATAACTTAGGAACTAAGACAGTCCCAGAAGACGTCCATGTGCTCTCAGTGGTCAGAGGTGAGCTGGCTTCATGGGATGACTCTCTCCTTGTCTTAGTTACTTTTCTCTCGCTGCTGAGACAAAATGCCCTATGCCCAAAATTAAAATAGGAAAGGTTTATTTAGTTCACAGTTTGGACAGGTTTCAGTCCATAATCAGCTGGCTCCAAGGCAAGGTGGTATGGAACAGTGGCAACAGTTCATCATGATGGAAGACAGCAAAAGCAACAAGAGCAAAAAAAGGAGAGAGCAAGCCTCTTTTGATCCCTTATATTATAAGCAGGCTAGCCGCCCTAGAGTGAGTGTAGTGTTCACACCATCTCTATACCCTTCTGTTGCACAGGGTGAGGATGTTTACAAAATAAGGACCCTGGCCCCCTGCTGAGTTGTTTAATTAAGCTTCTAAACTTCTGAAATTGACACAATGAATCAACCATCACAACATCCTAGGGTGTAAACAGCTACCCTAGGGCATGTCTCCTACATCCTAGGATGTAGAATTGCTAAGTCACTGAGTTAAGCTTCTAAATTTTTCAAGTTGATACAATGTATCCACCATTACACTCCTCAAAGGTAGGTGTCCCTTTGTTTGCAGCTAATGTCTCTTTGATAAGTTCTGTTGTTGAAACCAGGAGGAGTTCTTCTTGCTCAACATTCTGTTTGCTCAGCACCCTAAGAAGTTCAGCCGTGTGTGTGGGACCCTCCTGACTCATCTACCACAGCTTATGTGTGAGACACAGAGTCTATTCTGAAGCTATGTTTTCTGTAGCCATCTTTTTTCCACTCCTGGACTAAAGAAGCAGCACATAATTATCTCATTCATAAAAGAAAACTCCAGGGTTTTCTAATAGACTGTAGTGCTAGACACAGCTATTCTATTATGCTAAGGTCCTTGAGAAGGAAGTAAACAGAAAGTCTTGTGAGATCCTTCCATGGCAACAGGACTAAAAATAAGGCATGAGGAGCAGCATATAAGGGCAACCTCCAGCAGGAGGAAGCATCACACTCCTGCTCTCCTGCTCTCTCCTCACCTCACCTGTGTCCTCTCTACCAACACCATGGGTTGCTGTGGCTGTGGAGGCTGTGGTGGCTGTCGCAGCTGTGGCGGCTGTGGCAGCTGTGGCAGCTGTGGAGGCTGTGGCAGCTGTGGAGGCTGCAACAGCTGCACCACCTGCAGATGCTACCGGGTTGGCTGCTGCTCTAACTGCTGCCCCTGCTGCCGTGGCTGCTGTGGGGGCTGCTGCAGCACCCCCGTGGTTGTCTGCTGCCGCCGCACCTGCTGTAACTCCTGTGGCTGCGGCTCCTGTGGCTGCGGCTGTGGGAAGGGCTGCTGCCAGCAGAAGTGCTGCTGCCAGAAGAAGTGCTGCTGCTAGGTGGCCAACCAGCTCTGTTCCTGAGCAGGTGCAGCATGTGACTGCTACAGGTAAGTTTCTTCTTTCAGTCTGCTCCTCTGCTTGCAGATCAGAAGCACGACCTGAGCCTGTTACCAGCCCATGGGAATCTCACATTTCTGCAGTTTTCATGGTCCTGCCACCACTTAATAATCGCCAAGCAACGTACTAAATGTGAAGCCTTTGCCGTCCATTTGCATTTGACGAAACGCAGTCAAGATACTTCATGTGATACTTTCTTAAAATGCCTCTTTGTCATTACTTCCTATTTTTACCATTTCACTGGCATGTTTGTATACAGAACAACTGTTGTCTTAATAAATCATACTAACTCAGCCTCAAGAACCAGTCTCTTATTTTGTCTAGTCTAATGTGTCCATGGGAAAAAAACAAGTTCTTTCTGAACAGATAAATCCAATACTATACGTCTAAAGTGAAGAAACAATTGAAAAAAAAAAAAACAAATTGTGTGCAGAAGGCATAGACAGAGGAGGAGATAATTAAGAAGTTGTGTTTTTATTAAGGAGGGAGTGTGGAGGTGCACATCCTCAACCTTGGCACACCAATTCCAAACATCAAAATGTTCACCAGATCTCCTACTTTACAGAATCTTTCCAAAAAAGAAATATTTGATGAGCCCCCAAGTTGGCCATAAGATTGAACTGGCCCGATGGAAGGACATTAACAAAGGAAGGAATTATTCAGTAAGAACCATGATAAGATTCCCAAAGAGAAGCCCAGGGAGAGCAAGCTGTCCTTCCATAATGGGAGTCAGGAGATGGAGCTTTGGGGGGGAGGGGGAGTTGAGCCTCCTGGACTCAAAGTGACAATACGGTTTGGACACCAAACTGTCTCTCTCTCCATTTTCTTTCTCAGATCCATGTGCCCAAGCCTTTCCTGTCCTCAGGCTCCCAGAGTCCTGTGAGTTCCTCAGCCTCTAGAGTCATCCTTGAGAACCCAGCTGACTGATCTCCCCATCCCACTCTGTACCCACCCACAGAACTGCCTCCTGCCATGGGAACTCTCCTCAGCCAGAAGGGAGGAGTCAGGAGAGGAGGCCAAGCTCATCCATTTCACCCCAAAACAGCTTTCTTCACCAAGCCGGTTCTCCCAGCTGATAATATGGATCAGCAGAATTCCGGGATGGTGCACCTTTCCTAGGATCCCAGCAGAAACTTGCTTTAGATTCTTGCCCTTCCTGTCCTGCTCTCTGGAAATGAGAGCTTGTCTCCATCCATGGAAGAAAACACGGAGTGTGGAGTTTGCTGGGCATCATGACTCAGTGCTGATGTGGCTCTGGGAAGAAAAGAACTCCGGAGGCTGAGTGGATACATTGTATGTTTATAAGAGATGTCAGATATGGCCACACCAGGGGGTAAAGGATCAGGGAAAGCAGTTTACTGTGCCTCTGAGTGTTACTGGGTCTCAGTGAGATGAGGGCAAGGAGGGACCTTGGAGCAAGAGCTAACCTTACCCGCTGGTGCAGCTGGCCACCAGGGAGGCATGCTCAGAGTTCAAAGGCAGCACACCACTGCCTTTTAATGATCTAGCATTTGCCAGGCATGGCCCTGGGACCTACTGGGGACACCAAGACACAGTTCCTCTTGCTACATAAAAGAGAATATGCTATGGAAAAGAAAATCAGTACAAATGTGTCATGGTTCCTAGGAGCAACGCAGCAAAGTGCATGCGAGACCGAACATAAGGCATGAGCAAAATTACATAAATGAAAGATAAAGCATGTAAAATCTGTTTATTTTTCTCTTGTTATGTTTGTTATTCTCTTGTTATGTATGGAACAGTTCATACACTGGAGCCATAGTTCCTAGTGTCTCAGAATGTGACTGCTACTTGGACCTAGTATCTTTAAAGAGGATATTACAATAAAATGGTTTTTGGTTTTTTGGGTTTTTTTGGTACTGGGAATTGAACTCAGGACCTTGCACTTGCCGGGCAGGCACAATGCTGCTGAGCCATATCCCCAGCCTGGAAATTACATTAGCATGAATTCATGAGGGTGGCCCTTTACATATGGAGGGATTAGGACTCAGACAGGAACATATGGGAGACCATGTGGGCACAGCGGACACTGGGACACAGCAGCGCTGGCTGACCTTCACACTGCAGCCAGCCATGGGGTTGCAGTGACGCCATGACACCACATGACCTTCATCCTGAAACCTTCCGCACCACTGTCCACACTGCACCGAGTAACAGAAAGGACACACACTGGAAGTCCACAAGGAGCACGAAGCCAAAGATTTGATGCTATGAAGCCATTCTGTGTGCTTTCAGAAAAGCGACGAGCCCATGTCTAGTAGGAATGCTATGGCAGACACCACACTAGACCTAAAATACACTTCTCTGCCCACAACATGTCTCTCTTGTAGTTACTTCATGGCAGGATCTGCTTTGTGGAACAGCCTCAGCCCCAGACCTGCCTTTATATCTGAGAATCTCTCATGAACATTGGCCAATATACAGCGAAGTCTCTTCTAAAAACTTTGTTTGCTTGTTTGAGACAGGATCTTCCAATGCACTGCAGGCTGGCCTTGAACTCACTTTTGTAGCCCAGGGTGACCTCGAACTCATGGCAATCCTCCTATCTCAGCCTCCAGAGTGCTAGGATTACAGGTGTGCACCACCACTTCCAGCTATAAACTTTTAATGGCTCCAAAACTACTCATAATCTGAACTGTCAAATATAATTTGCCTTTCACTGGTATCTTCAAAGTGATTAGGGGATAACTAAAATCTAGTTTTCTCTTACATACAAAAAAAATATAGATCCTACCCAAATAGAATCTTAAGAATGGATCCCCACACTGGCAAAAGGACGTAGAGCAGAGGATAGCTCAAAACCCTGTTAAGCTCAAGAGCTGAAAAATGGAAAGTAATGAGCAAAAACAGAAGCCACATGAAGTTACATTAGTAAAGACTGAAGTGAATTAGAAAGAAACCCTATATCTTAAAAAACATTTTAATGTGGTTAGATTGACTGAGATAAGTGCAGCAGTGATTTTCCTGCAAAATAAACAGTAAGGCTCAGGGCTGTTGCAAGTGAACCTGGAGAAGTGAGACCCATCCCACATTCACCAAATCCTTCTCACTTAGCACAAGCTAGCGGAATGTACTGAGTAGTTAGCGAGATGGAAGAGCTCAACACATTGTGGTAAAGATGAAATGTGCATAACTGTCTAAATTTGCAGGGTAAGAACAAACAAAGCAGAAGAAAAACACCCCCAACAAAACAGGATCTGCACTGAGAACCTTCCTCCAAACCATGAGTCCATGCCCCAGTAGACAGAGCTCTCCATTAAATGGTGCCCTTCTGTCGCCATAGCTTGGTAATGAATAGGACTCTGAAAATTTCTTTGAATTGTTTCATTGTGAATATAACACAATTTAAAGTGTATCTGCAGACTTTGACCACTGGTAACCCAAACCTCTAGCTCAAACTCTAACTCAGAGAGGCACTAGAAGCAGACATTTAAGCATTGTGTGTGCTTTGGCTCCTGGGGTGTGTGGACAGCAGAGGCGGGAGCTCTATCCTCAGGTGTGGATCCTGCTATGCCACCACTGCCATTTGCCAAAGGACTTTTAAGAAGCATACAGTCACACTAAAGAAAAAACAGCAATTTTCAGCGATAAATATGTATTTATTAGAAAATCTTAAAAATAATTGTTGGGAAAACAGGAGGAGATAAAGAAAAGCTGCAAGGAAAAAGGCACAAATATGGAAAGGAAAACTAAAGCTAGACCCATGTCTATCACCATGCACTGAACTAAAGTCAAAATAGATAAAGATCTAAATATTAAAACAGAAACACTAAATCGACTGGAAGATACAGTAGGTAGCCCTCTTGAAGACATAGGTGTAGACAAAGACTTCATGAACAAAACCCCAACTGCAAGGGAAATACTACAAAGAATCAACAACTGGAGTCTCATCTTATTAAAAAGCTTTTGCACAGCAAAAGAAATCACCAGCATAGCGAACGGACAAGCCACAGTGTGGGAAGAAATTGTAGCCAGTTGCTTCTCAGACAAAGGACTAATATCTAGAACTGTAAAGAATTGAAAAAAATCAGTCCCCCCACATTTAAAGACCCAATCCAAAAATGGGCATCTGAGATGAATACACACTTCTCAGATGAAGAAGTAGAAATAGCAAATAAATATATGAAAAAAATGTTCAACATCACTAGTCATTCAACAGAGGCAAATTAGAACTATGTTGAGATTCCATCTCCAGAAAAAATGGCTACTATCAAGAAATCAGCCAACAGTGGGAAAAAGGAACCCTTCTCCACTATTGGTGGGAGTATAGACTGGTACAGCCACTGTGGAAATCAGGGTAGAGACTCCTCAAAAAACTAAGACTAGGGGTCCCAATTGACCCAGCTATTCCTCTTCTTGGTATCTTCCCAAAAGAATTAAAAGCATCATACCATAGCAATAAATGTGAATCCATGTTTATAACAGCACAGTTTGTAATAGATATATCTTGGAAACAGCCCAAATGTGCAACAGCTGATGAATAAAAGATGGTGGGTTTTTTTATACAATGGAGTTTTATGCAGCCATAAAGAAATTTAAAGCTGAGATATTTGTAGCTAGATGGACCTTAAGACCATATTCTTTTTTTTTTTTTTTTTTTCTTTTTTTTTTGTCTTTGAGACGGTCTCACTACGTAGTTCAGGCTGGCCTTGAACTCACTTTATAGCCCAGGCTGGCCTCAAACTCACAATGATCCTCCTGTCTCAGCCTCTCAAGTGCTGGGATTACAAGCACGTGCTACCACACCCAGCAAGACCATATTCTTAGGTAAAAATAAATTGGACAAATGTGTAAGTATTGCATTGTCTCTCCAGTGTGAGAAACTGAAAGTGTACGTAAGAACCAAAATGAATAACAGATACTGTGAAATAGGAAGAAATTATTGAAAAGGAAAGGGGAACTACGGAGGAGGGAGGAGGAAAGGAAGGGAAAAGAAAACAAATGAGAAAAAAGGATAAAATGGAAAAAAAACTTTATAAATACGGAGGGGAAGAGGGGCTGAGGGGAGGGGAAGGGAACAGGAAAAAAAGAGGAATCAAGATGTGTCATGTACAGTACAAACTCCCCGTGATGAATGTGATCATTATGTGTACCTAAATGGTACCAGTAAACTTAATAATAATAAATACAGGAAGGAAATAATCTTGTACATCAGAGAGTATGTGGGACCCAGTCCTGTTCTGAGTGAGCGCAGGCTGTGGACATCTCTAGGAGATGAGCTGTCCCACACCTGGTGCTGGCTGCTGGCTACCGGACAGGAAAGTGCTCAGATAGG